AACTTCGCCCATCCCCCCCCTCACCTTCTGATATTTCTGTCTGTCTTTTTCGTAACTAAATTATAATTGTAATTGAAAGAGTGTGCTTGCTTTTCTCCCAACTCACCCTGAGAAAATAAACAAATAAACAAATAAACGAACAAACAAGAAAATACATACTATTATGTTGTTAGCACTTTGGCATAACATTATTTCATTTCGGGTTTGTGGGTTCGACAGTGATTTTTACATTTCAGTCTCAGCAGTGTGAGGTACATGTGTGTGTGTGTGTGTGTGTGTGTGTGTGTGTGTGTGTGTGTGTGTGTGTTTATGTATGTGTGTGTGTGTATGTATGTGTGTGTGTGTGTGAGTGTGTGTGTGTGTGTGTATGTGTGTGCGCTTTTGTGTGTATGTGTTTGTGTGCTTGTAAGTGGGTGTTTTGTGGGTGCGAGCGTATGTGTATTTCTGTTAGTATATTTGTATGTGTTTGTGTGTTTGTATGAGGGTCTTTTTGTTGTTTGTTAGCATGTGTGTATGCGAGTATGTGTGTGTGTGTGTGTGTGTGTGTGTGTGTGTGTGTGTGTGTGTGTGTGTGCTAACAATTAAGAAGGACTGAGCCTTTTCTTTGCATTAATCTGCTCTCCTGAAAATGTTGAAATAGTATAGGTTTAATACTCCTGTCAACGCTCTTATCTAATCGCCTGTTTACTGTTTCTCAGTGCACACAAGTTTGAAAGAACAGGTGCGAACTATATTCACTGCTGTTACACCCCTCCCCCAACACATTTTTCCCTCCGCATTTTCATGTTCACAATATGATCATCGAATCTCACTCGGTCCTTCTGGTTGTTTTGTTTTTTTTACTTTATAAAGTAATCACTTATTTTTTAACATTACTGTGTTGTTTTAAAAGTACAACTCTTAATTGGCGAAATATTGGCCAAAGTACGAGCCAAGACAGTGTCTTTCAGAGAAAAACAGTTTTGTAAATAATAACTTTCAATTACTTTTAATTAGTTTTTGATTTTTAAAAAAAACTTAGACTTTGTTTCATCTTGACTTTCATTTTAGAACAGACATCTTCGAAACGCCAAATGCAGAATACTCAGAAGATTCAATGAAATAAAATGTTGCAAAAAGTCAATACATCCAGTTAACAACACATTTATAGATTGCTTTAGTATGTGAGGTGAATATAATGTGTTTCCGTTCATGTGTAGGAATCTGTGTGTAAGTCCACATGTGTCATCATACCCACGTCCGCCTGTTTGCTATGAGGTGTGTATACTTGAATCGATGTGACTTTCACGGACGCATTATAATTTGTACAAATCCCCCCCCCCCCCCCAAAGAAATAAAAAAATAAAAAAATAAAAAAATAAATAAACAAAAAAATAAAAACAGGCCAGTGCTACTGACTGAAATTGTCCTTAGGCCATTCCCAAAAGGGGGATATTAACATGACTTTGTTATGCACAGTAGAAGTGTAAATGAGTTGATTTACCAATGTCATGCTCATACTGTGCCGGAACAACATAGGGGGGACTGCAGTTTTTTCTTTCCTCATCCTTACTATCCTCATTCTTCCTCTACTTTTTTTGTATGTTTGTCACTCTCTTGTAAACTGCTATTTCTGGGGTGCACTGATAGTCGAAGCAGACTTTGCGCTGTTGAGGCTAAAGAGGTGAACATGGTAAGCCTGATTCCCTGTTGGGACGTCCATCCATTGCCGCTCCTACGACCTTATGCAGTTGCGAGCACCGTAAAACCTTACTAAAATAAAACTTTCTTACAAATAGTAAAATCTGGCTATCATTTAAAAAAACAAGATCTAAGTCTCGTAGGTTTGGTTCCGTGATCCGGGATGTCCCGTCCCCGATGCCCTTAATCTGAACATGTAGATCAGACATAACTAAGGTACAGAGTTCGCAGATGTTGTATGCCTGAACCCCATGAGCTGCTGGCAAGTTTCTTGTTCGATTTTATTTTATTTGGGGGAGGTGGGGGGTAGGTTGTTTTCTTGTGTGTGTGGGGC